TAGGAGACTCCACTATTCCATAGCTCTTACATTACTATTTGCATGTATATTATGTACAATTCCAACTTCGACCGAGAGGTCAATCGACGGATTCAACTCGGCTGGGCAGCGTTCGGGAAATTACGACACATCTTCTCGTCAGGTATACCTCAATCTCTGAAAACTAAAGTGATAACCAGTGCATGTTACCAGTGATGATTTACGGATCTGAGACGTGGTCCTTCACTGCTGGCCGTATGAGGACGCTCAAGGTCACTCAGCGAGCTATGGAGAGGGCTATGCTCGGAGTTTCTCTGCGTAATAGACTCAGAAATGAGGATATCCGCAGTAAAACCAGAGTGACCGACATAGCCCAACGGATTAGTAAGCTGAAGTGGCAATGGGCCGGCCATATAGCTCGAAGAACCGATAACCGATGGGGAAGAAAGGTTCTCGAGTGGCAGCCTCGTACCGGTAGGCGTAGTGTAGGGCTACCCCCCACTGGATGGAGTGACGACCTGGTAAGAAATGCAGGAAGTCGATGGATGCAGGTGGCTCAGGACCATGCTTTGTGGCATTACTTGGGGGGGGGGTGCTATGTTCAGCAGTGGACTTGTGAAGGGCTGTAATGATGATGATGATGATGAAGAATAAAAATGTTTACTCATATTATACATAAGCTACAAGTTCTCAAAAAAATAAGAATAATGGTATTGTAGGCGTAAGATTATCATTTATATAAATTAAGGTCTATTCTCTAAATTCCCATTTTCTGTTTTGTTTTCGTTCTGTCGCCTCTTACGACACCCACGGGACGATATAGGGTAGTGTATATTCTTACACCACCACCACACTGTGTAAGAGGTTGCGCTATGAGATTCAACTCTCTCTTAGTAATTAGTGTCATTAACTTTACTCTCCGATGAATGACTTAGTACTTGACCAGTGTTTAAAGTTTCGCTATGAGAGTCAACTCTCTTTTAGTAATTAGCGTCATAAATTTTACTCTCCGATGAATGACTTAGTACTTGACCAGTGTTTATCCTTATTTGACTTATTATCCGTTAGAACACTAATTAAGGCTATTTTTTACGTTAACGTTATATGTGCTTGTCATGAAGCGATATTAATTAGATGTCGCCTATTGCTTATGTAACCTTTATCTGACGTGTCATTAACACAGTCATATAGTAGTTGCAAAATGCGCGTTTTCACTTGAGCACACTCCCGACTTTTCGGGAAACCTATGTTCAGTAGGGGACTTGTAATGAGCTGTAATGATGATAATGACTAAGTAGTATTCTTATAGTAAAATACACTTGTATTATTTATCACTGTACTGTCAAGCTCTAATAGAGAGAGACTTAGCAATTATCACTTTTGTAAAGCGTTATCTATGTCATGTCGTAAGAAGTGTAGCCGCTGACTTGTCACCTTGTCAGTCGTTGTTTACGTTTTTTATACTGTCTCTACACAGTTCGCCTTACCTTAACAGAACCCCCTCCGGTGACCAACAAACGGCGGTAAGTGCAAAATTTATTTGATAGTTCAGAGGCTACTCATGAGTGTCCTTTGTCGTCATGGTGAGTATAGGAAAATTTAAGTTGGCGCAATATTGAAAGGGCATATATCCAGTATATTCAATGAGGCTGTTAAAAAAGAAAGGATATCTAAGATAAACTGTTAATAGGGGCTACTTTAAAAAATACAGGTAAGAGGCGACGACAGGTGTACCCAAAAGTTTCATCCACCCGTGGGTGCCGAGGGAATTTCTATCTACTCGTGCACCCAATATGGTAATGCACTGCATTATGTATATCTCAATTTATATCGCTGATATATAAAGCAATATCAGCGATAGATTGAGATGCAGCTATGATGGCACTTACGCAATGGAAATTTGCATATATAAATTGGGCACGGAATGTAACCCAGTAGGTGCACCGTTAAACCGGTGTCGACAATCTGCCATTAACCTAAATTAGCATATTCGTTTTTCGATAATTTCATTCCTTTATCCACATATATTATAACAGTCAGGGATCCACATATTTTGTTGGCTTGTTTATAACGCTTACTTATTGGAGCGGAGGGCAAGAAAACGCCACGGAATATTGGAAGTCAAGGTTTGTAAACAATAAAAATCTGAATTTGAATATTTTTTCTTTTACTATCTAACCAATTCGCTAATTTACATCTGCGCAATGTCCAACAAACAACACCATTTGATTGAATCTTTTGTTGAAATAAAGATAGTTATGATTTTAAACTTTACTCCGCTCCGTTTATGATCTGCATCGGCCCTGGTATATACATAAAAATACCCACACATCGTTAGTGAGCTTTTTATCATGCCATCATGTAGAGTAAACTCTACTTAAATATGTTAATCGAGAATAAGTAAAACGATAAAATATAAAAATCTTTTTTATTGTATTCTTCGTACCTAATTTTACTAAAGAATTCTTTATATTTTAATAAAAATACTCGTTAGAAGAAGTTTACTCAGCTTCTTATTTTTAATAAAAGATAAAGAGTGGGTTGATTGAAACAAACTTGCAGGAAGGTTGACGTGGGAGGCGTAAGGAAAATAACAAGGCTTTCAAGGAGCAGAACGCGTGTGGGATGGAAATATTTCTGTTATTAAATTATAGCATTTATTTATTATAACAGACAAATCAAAAACATGCTCTTAAGTATTAACATTTTATGTTCGAAAATATCCATAAGTGCACTATATATAAAAGCACATGCCTTTTGGTGCTGTGAAAACTAAATGAATACGTCAATGCCTGTTTGTCTGTTACAGATGTTTTTCTCACAGAATTCTACACGTAGAAAAGTGAAATTCAGCTATATTTTAATCACAGTTATATAATATAGACTTTCTAATTTACTAAAATATAGACTACTATAGATTACTATATAATATAGTCTGAACGGAAAAGAAACTGCGAATGAAACTCCGTAGGTATCCCATTTTTAGGGAAAAGGGAGGAGGTTTTCATTCGACTGCATGTTGTATTGTTATTTTCTAATAGGTCAATAAAATTCAAATAGTCAATAAAGTCGATTGAGCTGTTTTATACACGTAAAAGAACTTGAATTTGCAGATGGTCATCATCAGTCTATTTTTGTTTGTTGAAATTTTAATATGACGCTGCTATATTGCGTGCTGGCTGAAATTATATACATTTCTTTAAAAATAATATAAACGTTTTACACAACAATAAAACGATTATTGTGTGCCGAAAGAAAACACAGCACGCGATCTATCCGGTACGCGAGCAAACCGGGTTCGATCGCCGCCGGCACCAATGAAATTGTTAATTGCAATTTTAAGTGCTGATTTACCACGTGCTCGGCGGTGAAGGAAAACATCGTGAGGAAACCTGCATGTCAGAGAAATAAATAAAAAAAATATTTTCGAAGACATGTGAAGTTCGCCAACACGCATTGGAGCAGCGCGGCGGATAATTCTTTGCCCTAAAACCCTCTCAGAAATGAGCGGAGGCCTGTGCCCAGCAGTGGGACGTATATAGGCTGTAACTTTACTTTACTTTTATGTGTCTGTCAGAAAACACAGTATCGCTTATGAAGACGTGTTGATATATGCTGGTAACTAGAAAATAATAATTTTTTTACTAGTAAGTAAGTAAAACACACGCAATGTTGAAATTATTTCCGGTTTAAATAATTCTTGTAGACTAGGTAAAAGTAATTAAGACAAATTTAAAATTATTAATAGTTTTACTTTTGTATTGCAATAATATGTAAAAATGTATATAAGTAAAATATATATAATATAAGTAAAATAAATTTTCATGAACTAAATAAATTTAAATTGTTTAACATAAATTTTGCCTATTTAAGTTCACTCAAGAATCAATTATGAATTTTTAATCATAAATTACAATTAATTCAAATCATACGAAAGTAATATTTGTTTTAAGTAGGCTTAAAATTGTCTAAAATATAATTTTTCTTATCCTATTCCTGTGCATTTATCTCTCGGTAATAATGATTCATTAGTGTCTGAGCCGCTGTCCAATTGCCTCTCTCTAAAATTTCTTCAATTGGTCTGTTTTCAAACCAGGCTAAGGATCCTACTGCAGATCGGCAAGAACCAGGAGTAGCATCTATACCAGCATCCTTTAATATAGAGCGAACCCATCCATCTATCATTGTTCTGGACGCAGGTTTTGGAGTATCTCTGATAGAAACGAACAAATTTCCATCTATTTTGTCAGTCCATCTTTCCTTAGTTGCTTGAATTAGAAGTTTTATCCATCTTACTGGGCATAAGTTACTGTCCTCACTAGGAAGAAGCTTCCAACCAGACTGCCGCCTAGACCCGTTATCAGTCTTAGCTCCAAATACTGGCCATAAGCAGATCTCTTGCCCATTGTCAGTAAAATACGGTTCTTTAATCCTCAATAACGTCAAGTCGTGTAGTCTACGACCAGATGTCAAAAGCAAGATAGTTGCAGTTCTTCTTACAATTTCAAATAGTGAGTTGTCTTTTGGATTTTGCTTCAACCAGTCTATTACTTGATTTACATCCCACACTGATGATTTAAAATTGGGTGGTTTGGAATTATGAATAGCTTTAAGTACGTGTTTTACGAGAAAATTTGAGGATATGTCCTCCTTCATTCCACAGAATGTTGCTACAGCAGATTTTTGTATCAAAATCGTACTGTATGCCAGACCCTCTTTTAAAAAGTGTCAGCTAGGAACTGTGCCACTTTTTCTGATTTGGGGCATTTCGGATTGATTTCTTTAGTTCTGCACCATGCTCTCCATCGCTTTAGTGCTAGTTTATAGGTATTCAGGGTAGATTGACGCCAGCTTAACTTGAGGAGATCTTTTCCGCTTGGGACCACGACAATGATTTATCTCCCCACCCCCAACTTTCCAAACCTTCAGGGCTAGTCGGTCTACTTGCGGAGGTGGAAGCACTGTTGTGAGGTCCACTAACACTTCCTGTAACGAGGTCACGGTCATTGCCTTGCCGAGTGCTACCCTTGACTTGTTGAGGTGTGAGAGCACACGCGGAATAAAGTTTGATGGGGGGAATATCCATCTAATTCCTCTTGAAAAGCGTCTATGAACATTGCGGAAGAGTCTCGTGAATCAATTGTTACATAGTTTGGTAGTATAGCGGATCTTTCTGATGCAAAGAGGTCTATGTCTGGTTTGCCCCATTGCCTGAACACCTCTGATGTGGCTTGAGGTTTTAAATGCCATTCTGGTACAGGAAGTCTCCGCGACAGTCTGTCCACTATCGCATTGTATCTGCCGGGTAGATATTGGGCTGAAAGTGTTATGTTCCACTTGTCTATGATCTTCAGAAGTTGAAAGGTTAGAGATGGGAGTCCTATGGAATGCGTTCCTCCTTCTTTGCGACTGTATGCCATAACAGTTTTGTTGTTTGTTTGTAAGAGCACATGAGAGTCTCTGAGCTTCTTTACGTTCTGTCTCATTACAGACAGTACGGCAAACATCTCTTTTTCATTGCCAAGGCCGCTGGTAAGGTGTCCATGAACCTGACATGGTCTGTTTGTCCAGAACAGCGCCCCATCCGATGTTGGAGGCGATAACATGCAAAATTTAGTTGGCCCATAAGGCATTGTAATTGTCGAAGGTGGCAAAATTTTGTTGTTAATATTTTTGTTATTGCAGTCAGGATTGACTTTTTTTTTTTGGCAGGAAGACTTATTACATTTTTGTCTGTATTCCATTTTATGCCTAGAAATTCGAGTGATCTCATTGGGGTCAGTATTGATTTTTTGAGATTCATTTGCCAGCCCAGGAACTCTAAGAGCTTCACCATCTCCGTAGCCTGTGGTGCTAACTTAGAGGGGTCCTGGTGCACTATAAGATAATCGTCCAGGTATACTAGGACCCGCATTCCTTTTTTGCATAGGATTTCCACGACCAAGCAAGTGACAGCAGAGAAGAGTCTGGGGGCCGACGATAGGCCGAATCATTTGAAGCATTTCTTGATTGTAAAAAAGTCGTAGGAAAGGTCGGTGTGACATTGATATAGGTAAGTGGAAATATGTCTGTGAAATATCGACTTTTACCATCCAATCTCCAGGTTGAAGGAATTCTGGTACGTTGGTATGGCTTATAAGATGAAAATTTTTTGTTCCTACAAACTTGTTCAAGTTCTGGTCTCACTTCATCATCGCTCTTTTTTACAAGAAACATGCGGGAGAAGAAACCGGGAGTCAAAGAAGTAGGCATTTCTAGAACTCCAATACGTTTCAGTTCGTTTATCTGTACAGTCATCTGGGATGAAGCTTTTGTTGCGTAGCTCCGAGCTACTAATATTGCTTTTAGAATAAAGGGAGTAGCTCCGAGCTGCTCCCATTGGTCTCTGAAGTTCTTTAATTGATCCCCCCTGAATTCCGGCACTAAGTCATTATTCATTTCTGTCAAGGGAGCGAAAGGACGACTTTTTACCTATGCCTTTACCTTTTCCCTTGCCTCTGGAAGGGCCGTTTTGGTAATGCGAATTATAATTTCGGTAACTAGTAGTTCCCTGGGGAAATTAGAATTTTGTTTTAGCCACCAAAATTTTGAATAAGGGTATTTAATTTAGATTGGTCGAATAAGACACTTTCGGATGGAGGAATATTTCTCAAGGCTAACTGAATACATTCGTTAGGCACTTCTTTAATTAATCTTTCCCTTCTAGTTTCAATGCATTAAGCTCTTTTACCACATAAAACCTGTAAGATATCTTCAGAATTTTTATTAAAGGCTGTGCCTTTTCCAATAGCAGAGCTTATTTTTTGCGCAAGTGCTGGTGCATTTAATTCCTCTGGGGATTTCACAGCCCAATCCACTACTGACTATAAACCTGTTCGGAGTAACTCATTGCTTTCAAAAACAGCATTTGACAAAGCTGCCATTACACTTTCAGTACCCGATAAATAATCTTTCGATTTGCTCAGATGGCGTAATTCATGATTTACACTCAGTTGATAAAACCCTGGGGTATCTACAAAAGACTGTAGAGTCTTGGAATATCTTACATTTTGCCATGTGGGTAGGCCAAAATGTTGCAATGTCTTTATCTTTTCAACCCTCTCCGGAAGGGCTGGTTTTATTATTTTACTTCCCTCAATATTGATGGCTATTGAACCTAGATCAAGCATGGGATTTTCTTTTGGTATAGTAAGAAAGTTATCACAAGTATAGGTATTAACATCTTGTAGGTTATTTTGCGAGCTGCCGAGACTGCATATAAATATTTGATAAAAACCCTAACTGGTTTATGAGAGCCTCCAAGCGTGGTTCTTCTTTTAAATTTCGTCTTTTGAAAGCAGGCCTTTCACTTTCGGACCGAGATGGAGACGAAGAACTCGACGAAGATGAGTCCGGCTCGTCCTCAATCGTATCCGTAACTTAACGTAACTTTTCCCGAACAAGCTGCGGGGAATCAGCGTTACCACTCATTTCGAATAAAACTAGTATTTTGCAGCGCAACATAAATTACGTCCGTCACGGCAGCGAGCAACACACGCAATGACACCAACAGGCACAAAACACTAATATAACAGGGCGACGGCACCTTGCGGTGACAGTTATAAACAACAGTAAAATTCTCATGAATTGAGGGTATCTATGGTTTGATTTACAATAGACGGTAGTATCAATGAAAAAAGGTGAGCGCACATCGCTTCTTCATGCTGTGTTTTCTTTCGGCACAAAATAATCGTTTTATTGTTGTGTAAAACTTTTATATTATTTTTAAAGAAATGTATATAATTTCAGCCAGCACGCAATATGGCAGCATCATATTAAAATTTTAACAAACAAAAATAGACTGATGTTGGTGCTACTCAGCCCGCTATTACCATGAACTTTCCATTAGATGACCATCTGCAAATTCAAGTTCTTTTTTGTGTATAAAACAGCTCAATCGACTTTATTGACTATTTAAATTTTATTGATCTATTAGAAAATAACAATACAACACAACCATCCAAATACAACGATCCAATACAACCTTAAATTATGTGTCTATCAGAAAACACAGCGTCGCTTATGAAGAAGATGGTGTGAAGATGTTTTTTCGTAAGTGTTCCTAATTATTGCCAAAGCTTGTTTGCTATATTTTCTTAATATATTAGTTATAGTATACGACTGTGTTTTTGTTTTCACCCAGTTTTGTTTTATAGGGCAGAAAACTTAAGGTATATTATCCTCATCTACCATACTACCCTCTATCTTACTTTTTGTATCAAGGCCGTCTAAGTTTTACTGGCCAAACCCGGAGTATGTATGTTTGCTGACAAATAAAATATGAGATTAACGTCCCATAGCTAATATACATATAAATAGGGCGCAGCGGCATAGTAAGCAAATATTCTTCAGTTTCCCTTTGAAAATTTAATAGACTAATATATTTATGTATGAACGATGACCGAGTAATATTGTTACGGTAGTCTTAAGTTTGAATCTTTGTCGGCGTCATAATTTTTTTCAATTTCGCGCTTGATTATTTTGTGATTGTTCAAGTGTTTTTGATATAGAACATCTGAAATGGGTATGTTAGAAGGAGTAACTGCTTTTGTGTTAGTCTGGACACTTTTGGAACTATTATTTCTCCCCTACGGTCTTTTTTTCCATAACATTACTTACATCAGACCTGGTGGAGCCACGCTGCAGCTGTATCTAATAGTTGCAGCAACTAATAGTCACCTTGATCGGAGAGGAACTATTTTTTCACTGAATATCAGCGTAATATAGCAGCATACTGCTGCTGTATTTCGTATGGTGAGTATAAAGAACCGAAGACCTTCTTACTGATAACGAGCGACTCGTGAGGCAGCTCATCGTTGAGTGAACTTTGTGCTGTTCGTCACCATTAATTTGATTTAAAAAACTACCAAAGGGATTTTTAGGGGATAAAAACCGTTTATAAAAACAAATATTTACTAGGTATTTATAAAATATACAATTCCCCGAGACGAATTCCCCGTGCAGTGGCGGGTAAGAATACCCACTGCTCCATATTTTCCCGTGGGTGTCGTAAGAGGCGGCACAGAGAAACTGAGGTAGAAGATGGGCAGCAGCATCTTTCTGACACCAGCAAAGAGCAATAAAAACTGTGGTTGCCAACCCGCTCGCCAAGCGTGGCAACTATGGCAATATACTTGGCGACATATAACGCACGCACCCTGAGGACTGACGAGAAGATCCTGGAGCTGGAAGAAGAGATAGACAAGTTACTCTGGGTCATTGTGGAATTATCTGAGGTCTGAAGAGAGCGGGAGGACACAGTAATCCTCGAATCCGGCAACTTGTTCCATCACCGGGAGGGCGACTATCTGTCCCAAGGATGTGTCGGATTTAAATGTGCCCGAAAACTTTCAGCTCGAGTTACAAAATGTTTTCAGTGGACGATATGAATGACAAGCTTGTGAAAACTCCATGCGGTTGGAGCTAAGTTCTGTAAGAACCATCGCAAAAGAACACAAAAACTCTCCGATCACACTCTTCTTCACGGCTGTTAGACGGTAGATGAAGATGCAGTCTTCAGCAGATTCGACAGCATACTGGCAACTGAACAGATATACCTCTAAATGCATGCGGCAGAACTCATGCAACTTCAATACAGTCCATACTGAAGAAGCAATCGAGCGGAACCAAGGCTCCAAAGTCTTCCTTGTTTTGGTGATGTTCCATTGGGCGAAATAAAATGTTATGTGTTTTTTTTGCACTCCCTTGCTGTACGCATGGTGTACCGTATGATTCGAATGAGTGATGTGTCGCCAACAAAAATGTGGTATCGACCGAGTATCAGATTCTCCGATGGTGGAAGGGAGAGAGAATAAGTAAGTTATGCAAGTCTAGAGCATTCTATTCAAATGTATAATACTGTAGGTTGACTACTTTTTGCCTGTGCTCGAGGATAGTAATATTGGCGTTACCCAAATTAAAGTCACCAGAGCCTTTTGGTATGCTTTTCCATTAAGCCTAAAGCTGCTAAGTGGCCTTATACAGCACCAGCCCACATATGACACACACTTCATTCACGACTGGTCTTGCCCTTTATATAGAGTGAATAGCTGATCCAGCTTGATATACCGCCGCACCTAACTTCCGTGTTACTTTAGGCCTGGACTCAATGAGCTGCCTAAAGTTTATGTTCGATGAAATCTTAACGTCTAACAACAAAAGGCGGTTGATATCATCAAATTATTTCTTAGTTGATCATCATAATAATAATATAATGTTATAATAATATAATTTATTTAGTTCCAAATATAAATATAAATTAACATAACTCAAAATAATTTAGAAACTAAAATGGCGTCTACTCAGCACAAATGTTATAGAAATCATATAGAGGTAACTATAACTCTGATTTTCAGTACACAAATATACTATTATTATATCTAAAATTATTGTATATTATAATTGCTTGTATAGTTCCAAAGTAAATTAATCGCCTAGTGCAACAATATTATCCATAACTGAAACATTGGCGCTGCTTAATGAAAACAATAAGTCATACTAAGCGTATATATACGTCGTGACTTATCAATTTTATCGTTAAATGCATTTCCTATGTTCACTTAATGAGCGTGGAGTGAACTGCGGGAAGCCTGGA